CCTTTTCCCAAAGGCATTGTCTGATTTCCCCTTAAGGCAAAGTCCCTGAAATCCTTTATATTTGTGACCTCTTTTTAGTGATGTGTTTTCATTTATTAGACTAATAAAAAGCAATAAAGGCTTAACTACATCGTCAGTATCACTTTTAAGTGGCAGATATTTATACTATGTATGTGTTACAATTGATAAATAAGACAACTGGCTCTGAATAGAAAATGGAAGAGGCAAATAGGGAAAGCAGGCATAGGAATGTTATGTATATATTTAGCCACTTCTCTGCCTGAATATGGTGAAATTTTAAGTGTCATTTCCAAGGATACCCTGGTATTATATCTATTCACCAAGCATAGTTCGAATTTTTCTTATTTATATTTTTTGTATATTTTAAAGACCTTTTCACAGATCTGATGATGCCAAGCTATGTGCTATTTTTCCTATTTCACACATGTATAGCTCAGGCTTAGAAGGTTTCAGGACCTTTCTGTGTGTACCACGTCACACAGCTAGCAAGTGACAGAACTGGGATTAGAACCCAAGACCCTTGACTCACTGTCCAGGGCTTTTCCATTGTTGCTTTTCTAGGGGGGATCGCAGGCAGCTGCTTCTAGTGAAGGCGTGCCATTTCCCTTCCTTCCTTGCCATGTGCGGATAGGTTTCTGTGCTTCTGACCTGGGTCCCATTAAACCATTCTTTTCTCTCCCCTCCTCTTAATGGCCCCAGGGACTTGGCTCAGCCTCATTTACCAAACTTAGTAATGTCAAATGCACACGACCGTTCAGAAGCAGTACTCAGAGAGCTCACACAGCCTGGACGTGCACTACATGAGGAGTCGTTAGGGAAACAAATCTTGAGATCCATTCATACTGACCAAGAATGTAGAAAGCTGACCTAATGAGAGGCTTGGGCAATTTGTGTAAAAATCTAGTCTAAGTATACATGAGCCAGGATATTGCAATCAAGAAAAAAGTTTTTTTTTTTAAGTTTTTAAATGTTTTTCTTATTTCTTTCTTTTTTTTTCTTAATTTTTTTTAATGTTTTATTTATTTCTAGGAGAGAGAGAGAGAGACAGCATGAGCAGGGGAGGGTCAGAGAGAGAGGGAGTCACAGACTGAAACAGGCTCCAGGCTCTGAGCTGGCAGTCAGCACAGAGCCCGACACGGGGCTCGAACCCACAACCGCGAGATCATGACCTAAGCGAAAGTCGGACGCTTAACCGACTAAGCCACCCAGGCGCCCCTTTTCTTATTTATTTCTGAGAGCGAGAGAGAGAGACCGCATGAGGAGGGGAGGGTCACAGAGAGAGGGAGATACAGAATCTGAAACAGGCTCCAGGCTCTGAGCTGGCTGTCAGCACAGAGCCCGACACGGGGCTCGAACCCATGAACCGTGAGGTCATGACCTGAGCTGAAGTCGGACGCTTAACTCACTGAGCCACCCAGGCACCCCAAGAAAAACGTTTTTAACAACTTGGGTTTCGGGGTACAGGGATGGAACTATTTAAGTGACTGTCTCACCTCTCACTTGCTATGCTCATGTAGCCAACAGCCTCCATATCCTCTTAGCAAATATCTCAGGCAAGGCCACAAGATCTTTTAAGACCATTTTTTTTCACCAGGCCTCATTCACCTCATTTGTACAGGCCCTTCGTTTTTGTGGGGTTTGGCGTGTGGGTTTGTTTCTAATTTTTTCTTTTTCATCTAAAAGGAAGACTCCACTTTCACAGTCTAATAAAGAGAGAGTCTGGGTAAGGGAAGACCTCTCCACGAACAGGCCTGACCTTGGTCCAATCCCCACAGACACTGAATGAGGGACTTTCACGGCCCTGGTCTCCAGGCAACTGCCAGGACCCAATTCTGGTGAGGATCAAATGATACAAAGGATATGAAGGTGCTTTGCTGACTGTGTGTGTGTGTGTAAAATATCCACACACACAAAAAAGTTGTCTTGAGCACTCTGTCTGACATCACACAATGCCAATCGGCTTTAGCCCTTAATGTATCACAAAGGCAAATAATGATTCACTTTGTTGCAGCGTTTCTGCCCGAATGTGAACTTGACCCACCAACGAACATGACTGAATCACCTTCGCTACAGTCATTTCAACATTTTCCAACTGTTTCGACCCAATCAGGCAACAACTGAGGGCACTGTGCACGTGGTGCATCACTTAATATAACAGCCTAAAAAATGGAAAATGGTTCTTGGGCTGTAATCTGACATTTGCTCCCATTGCACACCATGTGCAGCCCGTGAGACCCCAGGATTACGATCCTAGAGTCAGGTAAACTGTGGCTATAACTGCCCACCGTTCATTCCTCATTCCCTCTGACAGGAAATTTAAATTCTGTGCCGCTCATCCATAGAGTACCACTGAGTGACTAAGCATCGCTCCACTCTGCAGAAATGGAGACAGAACTCAGGTTCTCCTGAGCTATAATGCTTTCTCTGTTTTTCCTACAGATTTTGTTCAGACGTCAAACTGAATTTCCTCTTACCTGAATGCATTTTCTCTATACCTGGCAGGGATCTGGAAGTAAAATGATAAGATTTATTTCATTTTAATTCTATTATGATGCATTTAATCACAAGCACCCCCCAAATGAAATGATAATTTATCATTTTGCCCTGACTGGAGCAATCCTCCTTGGTTCACAGTTATGAATCCATAATACAGAGAGGAGACTGGATGATTAAGTGTCCGATTAGAGAAAACAGATTAACCTGGCAAACATAATAAATTTAACTCATAAGCAGGATGGCTTTATAAGTGCTCACAATAACTCTCCTGTAGAAAATCATGAACCACTTCTTTCAGTGATGACTCAATTGAAATAGTTGAGGGACATAAAGCAAATGCATGTTTATGGCTTTCTCTCTGAGACCTTAAACAAGTATCGAAAGGCATATCTGATTCAGTTTAGGACTCTAAAAATATATTAAATAGGGAACGTGTAGTAACCCCAAAACAAACAAACAAACAAACAAACGAAACCCACACAGCTATAACCTCTCAAGTGTTGTAATTTCCACTTGGCCAGTAATTATATCTAGATCCCTGATGCTTTTGATGTCTTTCTACCTTCACTATGTCTCCAAAGTTGCCAAAGCCAGGCTGAGTTTCAAACCATGCAGATTCATCCTTAATCTTCATACAGGAACCTGATTCCTTTACGAAGGCAGCTGCGTCTTTACATAATTCCTATCCCACTGTGGCAAGGCACACAAAATTAGCATGCTATTTCAGCCTCTGAATCCTTCCTTTCAGCTGAGATTCCATTTAAGTCCGAGGAGAGATCTAGGTTCTGACTTGTTTGCAGGAAAGTCCTGTGCAGAGCTCCAGAAAGTTCATTTAGCAGTCTGCCTGGCTTTCCTTACTTAGCTGGCTAGTATTCTTGGCCTTGCTTTTCTTAGCAGAGAGAAAGGGGATACTCTTCATGCCCAGCTTTATTTTTAAACTCACATAGTTTGATTTCTGGAAGCCTCTGCTGAACTACCAGGCCTGAAGAGAGTCAGTTAGGCCCTGCTCTGTCACCTGCAACCGAGTCGTGCAGAATAAGGATCCTGCAGAACTGGGGGAAGGGCAGAAGAGGTGAGGGGGGGATGGGCTGCCTGGGGAGGGGGATAGAGAGTTAGAGAGAGAGAGAGAGACAGAGAGAGAGAGAGATTGAGAGTCTTGTCTTTAAGGAAGGCCCCATCCCATCTGGAGCCAGGTAAATCTGTCGCTGAGAGAAACTAACACCTGGCTGTCGAGGGCCGGCACTCCCTTCCTCTCCCCTTTCTCCTTTCTCTCCCCCTTCCGCTCTGAAGTCGATCTTAGGCTAGAGGGTGGTGACAGGGAGGGGTCCAGAGGGAACCAGGTCCCTGCGCGTCCTCACAGCCTTTGTTTGGGTTCTGGATCAGGCTCACAAGCACTCACCGGTAGGTGCGCCTGCGGTGGGAAGCAGGGAGGTTTTCTTTTTTTTTTTTTTTAAATGTTTTATTTATTTCTAGGAGAGAGAGAGAGAGAGACAGCGTGAGCAGGGGAGGGTCAGAGAGAGAGGGAGACACAGACTGAAACAGGCTCCAGGCTCCGAGCTGGCAGTCAGCACAGAGCCCGACGCGGGGCTCGAACCCACAACCGCGAGATCATGACCTAAGCGAAAGTCGGACGCTTAACCGACTAAGCCACCCAGGAGCCCCAGCAGGGAGGTTTTCTAAAGTCACTCCCTGTCCCCACCTTTGCTGAGTTAAAGACCGAGCTGCTTTCTTGGGGCGCAGGGACTAAGGGTCCTTTCCAGGCTAAAGGAATTTGTGCCGCGCTGGAAGGGTGTGTACATCTAGCAGGGAGTGTGCATTCATGACGAATTATGTCCACAAGACAAGTTAAGTTCGCATCTGCACAGCCCTTGGGGCCGCAGAAGTTTCCTGCAGTAACGTCCCAGGGACCGGGGGCGGAAGGCCGCAGTCATTGGACGGATTCCGTGCTGGGGCTGCGCTTTCCCGGGCGGGTGCGCGCGCGCACGTACAGGTCAGGTGTCGCGTCGGGGGCTCCTCCAGGCGAGGCTGGGGACCCCGCGGTGGCGCGGGCGGGCGCGCGAGCCTGGGGCGCGCGCAGCGGTGTCGGGGGCGCCAGGACGCCTCCGCGCGGTGGGGTTGGCGTTGGCGCTGGAGGGCCGGCGCTGAGTGGTGGCGAGCTGCTGTGGCCTTGACCTTCCCAGGGAGCAGATGGAGTGGGCCCGTGACCACTAACTGGAGGGGCAGCAGCTGCGAGGCCAGAGAGACCCCAGGACCCCAGCAGCTGCCACCGGTGGGAAGGACGACCCGGACACCCCGAGCAAGGTGTGCTGCGGATTGTGGGGGAGGGCCTCTGGGTTCCCAGACACCCTTGTTTGCACCGCTTGTCAAACACCGCTCTTTGTTGCAAATGGGGGAACTGAGTCCACAGGGAGAGACTCAGTCCCCAAGTCACACAGTTATTAAGTGGCGGAACCATGATTAGAGAACTGGTCCTGCCTAAAAGCCTTTTTTAAACCTACCGTCCTCACTGGATGAATATGGATAATAATACAAGTCATTACCATTATAAGATATTAGGTGATATTACTTTGGCATTCAAGACTATTAATATGATATATGTGCTGGGAAAACCTGGCCACTCTGTCCTCCCTGGGTCTGGGTTTCTCTTCATTCATTAGACATTTGCTCAGCAGTTATTTGTGCCAGGCACTCTGTTAGCAACGGAAGGTATAGAGACAAACAAGAGCCAGCAGAAGACATTATTCCCGCGGCACCAGTAACTGACGCAGGTGTGGAAACACAACAGGTGTTAGATCAAAAGCGCGCAGAAACTCCCGAGGAGAGTCATTTCTGGCTGACCTTGGGGAGGAGGTGGCATCTGTCCTGGATGCCCAACAGCGAGACTTTGAGGGGCATTTGGAAATGGGCAGTGCATTCCAGGTAGAAGGTTCAGTGTTGGCAACAAAATTCCAGGTGAGTGTGAGGAATAATGAGTGGTTTGGTTTTCCTAGGATGCAGGGATGAAAATACGGAGGCAAGGTGGAGGGGGGGGGGGCGGTCAGTGGTGGGGAGGCTTGGAAGGATTCGAAGCAGCAGCGGCTGAGGATGGTTCATCTGGTTGGGAGGGGGGACCCTCAGCTGCCGAGCAAGGATGTCTGAGCAAAGATCCTCAGAGCTCCGAGGGGCTGTGAAGTAGCCATTCTGAGTCCACAGAGCTTCCTGGAACCAGTTCAATGTAGGAGGATCAAGGATGGAAAAAAATGCAGCTGAAAGGGTTCAAATCACCTTGGGAGACTGTTGGACCAGGGATGGTGTGTGGTAGCATTTCAGATTTCCAGCAGCACTCTTGGGAGTCGTTTGTGAAACAGTGCTGTTAGTATTCCCGTCATGCAGGTGGCCTCATGGACAGCACTCAATCAGCCCGTCCCGCTCTGTGCAGGGGGCAGTTATATCTTTTGGGACCAACAGGCAGGTATAAGCGAGGTAGCCTGGTTTGGCCATTGAAACAGGAAATGTCTTGTAAAAAGATTATAGATTTACCTTCATGCCACTCTTGATGATAAACTAGACAAACATATCTGTGCAGATGAACTGTTAACGTATTTTTTATCTTACAAGCGACGCACACAGATCGTAGTAGAGGACTTCGTAAATGTATCTTTAATGGGTTCTGTGCTATCTCATGTTTAAGAAGCACAATACTATTTTCTTGTGCCCAAGTGAAATGGGTAGACGTGGTCCCCACAAATCCAGTTACCCACGCAGATGGGTGATGGCCGTTTGCCTAAGGTCTGAGTCTAGGCACCTTCTAGATGCTTCTGGCCCCACCTTGACACCTCTCCTGCAAGACAAGAGCAAGGATTCCCCAAGGTTCATTCCCACCACTCACTGGTTCTGCATATAAGTGTTTAAAACTTCCTGTATCGTTACACGAAATATATATTTTTGTGCTTTCGCAGCTTCTCCACATATTGGGTTTTTGAGAAGAGGGGAAAATGTAAAGTTGTTTAGTAACAATTTCTTTGGTTAATGATGTTATCATTGGTATAAAGCAGGAACCTGCAGACTGGAATGAGAAGACAGACCTGGAATTGAGCTCCCTCTCTGTCACTTACTGCCTTTGTGACTTTAGGCCTGACGGTTAATGCATCGGAGTCTCAGTTTCCTTATCTGTATGTAAAATGATGAACATAATAATCAGTTCGGTTGTTACCTGGTCCAACAGTATTCAAAAAAGGGTGCAAAAATGTTAGCAATGGAGGCAATACAGCGTAAGATTGGGATTAGGAGCCTGGTCTTGAAGGTAGGCTTACCTGAGTCCAGGTTCTGGCCTATTTCCACTGTGTGACTTTGGGTAAGTTCCTGAACTGCTGTGAACATCATCTGCCTCATCTTTAAAATGAGGGAAATAATTATCTCTACCTTGTGGTGTTGATTGGAGGATCACGCCTCGCACAGGTCCTGGGAAATAGAATGAGAGAACATTAGAGCTTATAAGGGAACTTACAAGGCCTTCTTACTCTAACTACTGTCCCCTCCAACCACCACTGTGGAAATGTTATTTTTATCCACTCTCACTGTATTTAAACATTCCCAGTGACAGCCTGCTATCTGCACAAGGTGCTCTATTCTGTTGTTGGATTGCTTTCAAAGAAATTTTCCTCGTGCACAGCTAAAATCTGCCTCAATATAACTTCCACATATTTGTTGTCTTCGATGTTCTATATTAAAAAAAACATTGGTCTCTTTTTTTAAAACTAATCTGTTTGTTTTTAGGTAATTGTAGATTCACATGCAATTATGAGAAATAATACAGAGAGATCCCTTGATCTTTACCCAGTTTCCCCCAATAGTAACAATGTGCAAACTATAGTATACTATCAGACACAGGTCATTGAAATTGACGTGATCTGGATGAAAACATTTCTGTCATCTCTAGAATCTCTCATGTTGTCCTTTTATAGCCATACCTACTTCCCTTTCACCACTTTCTTAACCCCTAGCAACAACTATTCTCTATTTCTCTAATTTTTCATTTTGAGAATGTTCTATAAAAAGAATCATAGAGTATGTAACATTTTGGCATTGGCATTTTTCACTCAGCCTAATTATCTGGGATTCCTCTAGGTTGCTGAATGTATCAGTAGTTTGTTCCTTTCTATTCCCTAATAGTTTCCATGGTATGGCTATACCACAATTTATTTACGCATTGAAGGTCACCTGGGCTATTTCCGGTTTTTGACTATTATGAATAAGCTGCTCTGAACTCCCAGGTACAGGTTTTTGTGTAAATATAAGTCTTCCTTGTCTTCAATCTCTATGGTAAATATCCAGAAGTGCAACTGCTGGATTGTATGGTAGTTACAAGTTTTTAAAGAAATTGCCTCATTGCTTCAAGAGTGGCTATACCATTTTATAGTCTCACCAGCAAACGAGTGATACAGTGACTCTTCATCCTTGCCAGCATTTTCTGTTGTCACTATTTTTTATTTTAGTTCTTGTGATATGTATTTGGTGCTATCCCATTGTGGTTTTAATCTGCACTTCCCAAGTGGTTAATGGTATTTAACCTGGCTTACTTCACATCTGTGTCTTTGGTGAAATGTCTTTGTGTCGTTTGGCCACGTTCTAATTGTATTCTTTGCTCTTTTACTCTTGAGTTTTGAGAGTTCTTTATACGTTCTCAGTACTAGTCCTTTCTCAGATATGTGTTTGGCAAATGTTTTCTCCCATTGTATAGCTTGCTTTTTTGAGCTTTTAACAGGATCTTTTGCAGTGCAAAAGTTTTAAATTTTAAGGATATCAAATTGTCAGTTTTTCCTTTTATGGATAATACTTTTGGTATCAAGACTTAGAACTCTTTGTCTACCCTAGGTCCTGGGGAGTTTTCCTATGTGCTCCCCCCTTCTCTATGTTTTATAGATGTACATTTAGTTCCGTTATCTGTTTTGAAATATTTTTTGTATAAGACGTGAGACTTATGTGGAGGTTTTAGTTTAGTTTTGTTATTTTGTTTTGTTTTGTTTTTGCAATGAATTCAATTGCTCTGGCAATTATTGAAAATCTTTTGTAAAATAGCACATGACCTTTGGCGAGTCAAATTACCTGCCTGTTTCCATTTTTTCTGTCTTGAAAATGAGGGGCTTGTGCTAGAACTAGATGGGTGTCATTCAAGCTCCATTCTGGAATTTCTGGGGCCCCAGACAACCTCAGAAGCAGCCGCAGTGAGGAGCAGATGGGGCTCTCCTGCTCCTTCTGACTTCATCCAGGGCAGAGCTACTTTTATGTTTTATATTTTTGTGGGTCCATCTGATATTTGGTTTAATTCAGGGCTCTGCTGCTAAAACCAAATTTGGAGAGCAGCGGATTAAGTAATGCCTAAAGTACTTTTCTGCAGGAAATTGCTGTGATTCTAAGCGCTTGGTGTTGGAGCTCACTTTCCCCTTACATACTAGCCTCCGATCTCCTCCCTTAGTTTCTTGAGTGGTAACATGATAAATACAGTAGGCTTCAGGAAATCAGTTAGCTTACGTTTCATAAATCAGTTCACAAACCATAGGCCAGGATGGAAAATGTGTTAAATATATTAAAAATGTGCCGTGGCATCACCCATTCCACAGCATTATTGTGGCCTAAACGCTAAGAACTAAAATCACATAAAAGCCACTATCTCGACATGTACAAAGAACCACTGCTCTCTTACCATCCACCCGCCTAGCTCTGGCCAGTTCACAGAGCACTTGGGACAGCTTTTAGCCTGTCCATTTAAGGTTACTTGCCCTGGCTTTTTGAGTTATTCTTAAACGTGCCTGCAAGATGAAGAGACTGATGCAAAATATGTCAGTCAAAGAAAGACAGATAGCATATGATTTCACTCCTATGTGGAATTTAAGAAAGAAAACAAATGGTCATGGGGGAAAAAAAAAAAAGACAAACCAGGAAACAGACTCAACTATAGAGAAGAAAATGACTGTTTCCAAAGGGGAATGGGTGATCTAGGTGATGGGGATTAAGGAGGCACTTGTGATGAGCAATGGGTGATGTATGTAGAAGTGTTGAATCACTAAATTGTACACCTGAAACTAATACTACATTGTCCATTAACTAACTGGAATTTAAATTTAAAGAAAACAAAACAGGAAACTGAGACACAGATGGTTTGCCCAACTATTGCTATTTGTTAATAGCAAGTAGATGACCTGAGACAAGAGCTTGTATCTTTAACACCTGGCCCATTATTTGCCCCTCTCTATTTTAGAATGAATACAAATGGGCCCTGACTCAGCGGTTTTTTGGTTCATGACTTTTTTTACTTTAAAATAGCGCGAAAGCAATACGCATCCAGTAGAAATCATACGTTGAGTTTTGACTTTGGATCTTTTCCCGGACCAGTGATACGTACAACCCTGTCTCCTGACGCTGGGGCAGTGGCGCTAAGCTATAGCAAACAGTCAGCCACGCGACCATAAGAGTCAACAATTGACACAAGTAGAACCATTTTGTATCCATACAGCCATACAACCACAGTTTTCATTTTCAGTATAGTATTCCATAGGTACACGAGATGTTCAATACTTTATTATAAAACAGGCTTCGTGTTAGATGATTTTGCAAACTGTAGGCTAACGTAATGCTCTGAGCATGTATGAGCTAGGCTAAGTTAAACTATGATGTTTGGTAGGTTAGGTGAATTAAATGCATTTTGACCTAGGAGATCTTCAACTGATGATGGGTTTATCGTGATGCAACCCCAACATAAGTGATCTGTATGAAGCTTTCAGTGGGTATTTTCCAAAAGTTGGCATTAGCTACTGTATACTTTTTTTCTACAAAATGGAATGATAGCATAATAAACTCAAATAGTGGTAAGTTTTAAAAAAGTTAAATAGGGTTAATTGCAATAGTGCACTTGGAAAAAAAGAAATGTCACCCTACAAAGTGCTCTCTGTTCAAAGGGTGATTATTATTGTAAGCTTGGCTAGGTCCCTGAATTCCAGTAGGCAGCTGTGTGTGCTTGTTGAATCCGATTCATGGGAAACGTGTTTGTTTATTTCATAGTATATTATCTGTTTTTCGTTTTACTGCTCATGTGGCCAAATTCTGAACCCCATATTAATAAGACTCAAACATATTTGAGAGAGTGGTTAGACTTAATGGTTTCCATAAAGTTGTTTTAATAGTTATTTTTCAACAGATGGACAGTGTACATTTGGCTACATTCCTGTGACAGTGTGGTGATTGAAGTTTTCAACAGATGGCATACAAATACTTGGGAAAACACCCTTCCAATATTAAGTGTTGTAAAAAGGACTTTTAGAGTGCCAGAAAAATGATAGTCTGTATTCCCAGGCCCTTAGCCTGTGCTATTATGAATATAATTTAGATGGTTTGGAAATTTCCCTTTCTGGCACTTGGATTTATTTTGTAATTGAGTGTACGTATCTACATTAGAGTGAGAGATGATGAGAAATTCTGCTGTCAATAAGAGATTCAACATGGATAGAGCACTGAATCTCCTTTTGAGTATTGATGAATGTCTCTAACTTCTTTCTACAGAGTCATTCCACTCCCATGCCATATGTATGTAGAAAATGTAACCTTTAGTAAAAAGCAACCATCAGAGACTTACATGTTCTTTCTGAAAAATAGCGCCTTAAAAGGGGGGAAAAACTCACCAAGCTTAGAATTTTCAGACATATTCAACAACACAGTGAACTTCCCAACCTTCCAAGTTGTCACACTTCTACCACGGCCACCTTACACGGTTTCTGGAATCCGTAAGTCAGGCATCAGGCAGTACGTGGGGTAGTAGGGGAGGGGTGGAAATCTGTGGGGGTGTTTGTGATTGTGCCATGACAAAGACCATTTACTGATATTGAATGGGTAGAGACTGAAGTACCTCAATTGCACAGTACAGTTTGGCACAAGGAATAAATGTCCCATATCTTACAGTGTGACTGAATGGCTGGGCACTCCTCTGAGCCTGGAAATTCTCTCTGCTTCAGTTAACTGAGAGAGTAAGTTTTGCAATACAAGGTATTTTTCCCACAGAATATCAGTGTCCTTCCACCCATACCCTGTTCTTTGATTTTACTGTGCTGATATTTGAAAGGCTAAAAGACTCCTCATCTTCTGCTACTGAATCTTGACGCTTTCATGCTAAGTAAGTGCAAGTTTATGGACACATTATTGTATCTTTTCATATAGTCATGGACCAAGTATTTACATAAGTAAAATAGATATTATTGTAAATTTACTTTCCCTTTCTGTTCCAATAGGGCACTGAATTAATATTTTTGAAATTTTGTGTATAGGTAAATCATATTTTCTATGAATGTCTGGATTTAAAGAGAGAACTGTAAGGTGCTTATTATTGTAAAGGAGCCGTGGGGTTGGTCAGGATAAGAAGCAGTGCTGTAGAAAATGAAACAATTAGCAGACAAATTCTTTCTCACTTTTCTTTCACTTGTGCACACAGAATTCAGTGTTGGAATCATTTAAAGAAAAGGACAGTGGTATGAGTTTAAGTCTTTAATAAGGAATGCAATCCCAATAAATTCTATATCCTTATACTTCAGTGGAGGTCCTAAACTGGTTTTCTTTTGGCAAGTCGTGTCAGCTGGATCTTCTTTGTATCTGTCATTGCAGATGGCGTTTAATGATTGCTTTAGTTTGAGCTATCCTGGTAACCCCCAGCCGGGGGACTTGATTGAAGTGTTTCGTTCTGGCTATCAGCACTGGGCACTGTACCTGGGTGATGGTTATGTTATCAACATAGCACCTCTAGGTAAGTTTTGTTTCTGGCAACTCCTGGGAGCATTTGAATTCTTTTATGATAAGAAGGAGTCATGAATGAAATCATAAAAGAAGACAAAATAGAAATAAAATGTAGAAAGTAGATAAATGTATCTGAAATAGGTTTAGAGAAGGACACAGTAAGACCATAGTGGCTTTGGCTAAATCACAAAGACCAATGGACATTAAAATTTAAAACCTCTGGATTAAAAGAAACCCACACAATTACAAAGGAAATAATCCACTGGGAAAATATTTCTCACAAACGTAAGAGTCCGTGTCTTTGTATATGACACAAATCATTTCGATTTGTTCAACATCTATTGATAGGTTACCCAGTATGTGCCAAATGTTATTCTAGATGCTGAGGATACGTAAACACCAAACTCCCAACAAACAAATGGGTAAAGAACTAAGAACAATATGTAGAAGAAGAAAAGAAGCCAATACCCATCTTTAAAGGGAGTGGTCTAGGAATTGTATGACAGAATAACACATTTTATGCCTATCGCCTTAGTGAAGATTTAAAAGTGATAATAGTCAGTGTTGATAAGGGTATAATGAAATCAAAACAAGGATATTGTTGAAAGAAATGAAAGTTGGGGTGCCTGAGTGGCTTAGTCGGTTAAGCGTCCGACTTTCGCTTAGGTCATGATCTCGCGGTTCGTGGGTTCGAGCTCCGCGTCGGGCTCTGTGCTGACTGCCAGCTCAGAGCCTGGAGCCTATTTCAGAGTCTGTATCTCCCTCTCTCTCTGACCCTCCCCTGCTCATGCTGTCTCTCTCTCTCTCTCTCTCTCTCTCTCTCCTAGAAATAAATAAAAATATTTAAAAAAAAAGAAAGAAATGAAAGTTGATAACATTGTTTACGAAAGCAATTTAATAATATGTATGAAGAGTCTTAAAAGAATTCATATGCTCTGACCCTGTAATTGTCCTTCTCTGAGTCTATTCTTCAGAAATATTTATAGAGATGTAGAGTAACATTCATTATAAGGGTATTCACTTCTATCTCATAACAGTTAAAAAAAAACAGGCAATGGCAGATTAACAAGTGATGGTGAGGATGCGGAGAAAAGGGAATCCTTCTGCACTATCAGTGGGAATGTAAATTGGTGCAGCCATTGTGGAAAACAATATGATGTTTCCTCAAAAGATTAAAAATAGATATACCTATGATCCAAGAATTCACTGTTGGATATTTGCCCAAAGAAAATGAAAACACTAATTTGAAAAGATATATGTACCCCTATGTTTGCTGCAGCATTACTTACAATGGCCATGATAAGCAGCCTAGGTCTCCATTAATAGATGAATTGATAAAGAAGATGTAACATAATACACACAAACACACACACACATATAATATGTTATATATATAATATGTAATATATGTATGTAATGGAATATTATCCAGCCATAAAAAAGAATGAGCTCTTGCCTTTTGGATTAACATGGATGGATCTATATGGTATTATGCTATGTGAAATAAGAGAAAGACGAATACCATATGTTTTCACTTATACATGGAATCTAAGAAAAAAACAAACAACCCACAAAACCACAAATGAACAAACAACCAGAAACAGACTCACAAATACAGAGAGCAGTGGGTGGTTGCCAGAGGGGAGGGATAGGGCGACCGGTGAAATATGTGAAGGGGATGAAGAGGTTAAAAAAAAAAGAAGCCAACAATAGTTTAGATTCAATAGGGAACTAGTTAAATGAGTTATGACTTCGCCACAGAATATTAGACTATTCTGTGTTTGACAGAATTCTTTAGTTATAAGTAACAGAAACAAACAAAGATTAGCAGAAGCAAAAAGGCAAATTCCTTGATTCACTGAGGGAAACTACAAAATGGATAAAGATGGTTGGTGCCCCGGCTTCAGGGATGCCTGGATGTAGGGGTATGAACATGATATTTTAAGAAAAAATTTTTTCATGTTTATTTTTGAGAGAGAGAGAGGAGAGAGAGACAGAGCACAAGCAGGGGAGGGGCAGCGAGAGAGGGAGACACAGAATTCAAAGCAGGCTCCAGGCTCTGAGCTCTCGGCCCAGAGCCCAACGCGGGGCTTGAACCCACAAACCATGAGATCATGACCAGAGCCGAAGTCGGCCACTTAACCGGCTGAGCCACTCAGGCACCCTGGGGTATGAACATGATTATCAAGACTCACATCTGCATTTCCTTTCCATGTATTGTCTTCATTCTCCTAGACTATGTCTTTCTAGGAAGCTGAACTGATAGTCATCAAAATCCTTAGGCTCTCGTTCTTATAGTCTTGTGACCTAACAGGAGAGAGCCAATCCCTGCCTGTTGCAATTAGAAATAGAGTGGAGAACAATCTCATCTGGTGGATCCCTTACCTATTCCTGTACCATCCTTGTCCCCTGGAGAAGGAGAGACTATGATTGGCCCACGCAAAAGCTTTTCCAGAAAGAAAGAGGCAGAGTGAGATGGGGTGCTAGATAGGCCAAAACAATAGTGATTTAACAGACATTAAAAATCTTATTTCTGGACATGCTTAATTGCTTGAGAAATAATCTTGCCTGACATTCATCTGAAAAATTCCAGATTAAAAATACAGTGGGTCCTATGATACCTAGTTTGCAAAGAAATAATATATACCCATGTGAATTCACACCTAGGCATTCATCAATATACATGGGTTAATAAAAGACATATTGAAAGTACCTCAAAATAATTACTTGATTATTTATGGGTGGGTAGTTAATGGGTGATTTAAATTTACATATTTATGTTGTTTTTTTCTGTATTTCCTAAATATTTAGAAACAAGCACAAATTAACTTGTTTTTTAAGGAAAAAAATGTATGCAAATAACAAGTAGCCTGGGGTATATTTTTCTTCAAGTCACCTTTAAAAAGAAGTATTAATAATCTTGGTCTTACTATCTTGAAGATGTCTGAGAATTTCTAATGAAGTGATTTTTGCAACATTTGAGATATTGCCTCTTGTTCTAGAATATTGGAAACAGAAATGGCAAGTAAAGTGACATTTATGATACAGAGTGATTAGTTTCTGCAGAATCTAGTGATTAACACTAAGCAATGCAGCATTATCGCTGTAGCTTTCACGTCTGGAAAATAATAGATTTTTTTCTAGGCTTTCCTTATTTTCATCTGTTAAGCTCCATATTAATATGGTTCTAGCGCTGAGCTTTGATCCTGTAGACTGAAATCCAGGTTCTGGTTCTGCTGTTAGCTATTTGTGTGATATTTTGCAAGCCAGTTTACCTCTCTAAGCTTCAGTGTCTTCATCTATAAATTGATAGCATCATTCTAGTATAAAAAAACTTCAGTAATTCTAACTAGGAGACCTAGGCTCAAAGAACTTGTAATGTACAAGAACTTTCAACGTGTAAGATATTTGCCAGAAATGTTGCTTGAAGGGAAAGGGGCTTGGAAGGCAGGAAAAAAGAAGAGGAGAAAAGAAAGTTAGCTTTCAGTGATTACAAAAAGGAAGACTCTCTAAACACTGGTTACGTGGAGACTCTCTCTCTCATGATTGACTTGAACACATAGCCAAGCATAGCAGTCTTGGGCAGATGGAGAGGGACCCGGGCCTGGCATTAGAGCTGAACACTGAACAGTCGTCTGTCCAACCTCAGATACAGGCAGTCGCAGGCCAGGAGACACGGATACCTAGCAGTCTAGGCAAATGCTTGCCAATTAAGGCAGCTAAAAGGGAGTTGCAGGTGGTGGAACATGTACTAGGTGGGTAGCACATAGCATGGAGCCACATCTAATGGACTTTGACTACTAGGCTAGATTTCGTTTCAGGACCGTGTTTCTTGGCCAAAAGGAACTGGCAAGATAAAACCAGCTTGACCCCGGCTGACCCCTGGGAGGGGTTTCAAATTGGAACCAAATGGAAGCCAAGTTGAGAGAGCAAGTGTAAAAAACAGAGAAAGGGGTACGGAGCACACTTAGACAAGTAGGATGAGGTTATCGATCACCATGCACAGCTGCTGAGGCCCAGAGATAGTTTGGAAGGGTTCAGATGCTGAAAAAGAGCATATTTTATAGAAAAAAGAGGAGGCAATGGTTTTATCTGTACTATGCTAGGAACATGTACCAAGATCGTTAATAATAATGGCAACTGATAGAGAACTTACTCCTCAAGAATGGGGAGTTTTCTCACCCAGTTTGCTGTATGGGTAGATACAGGGTTTCTCTTATATTTTCACTCACATAGTATTAAGTGTTATTGATAAACTATCAAATGCGTTATTAAGCCTGGTAAGAGTAAGTGGCTTCTGGTCTGGCGGTAAGTTTGGAACGGAGCTAGGTTCGGTGACTCCATCCTTTCCAAAGTTGTGGCATTGCAATGCTATGGCATTGGGGTTCTCTCACCACATCTTGCTAACCAGCATTCTCCTTATAGAGGATGGCGTTTCTGCAGCATTTACGAGCGCTAAGTCTATATTTAGCAGGAAGGCCCTAGTGAAGATGCAGCTCCTGAAGGATGTCGTGGGAAACGACACATACAGAATAAATAATAAATATGATGAAACTTATCCTCCCCTCCCCGTGGAGGAAGTCATGCAGCGGTCAGAGATTGTAATTGGACAGGAGGTGGATTATGACATACTTGTCAACAACTGCGAGCATTTTGTGACTTTGCTTCGCTACGGAGAAGGAATTTCAGAGCAGGTGAGTTTTCTTTAGAAGCTGTAAAAGAAGTTTCTTACCTTGGAAAAATAGGAACTACTGACTATGATAAGATTCTCAGGCCTCAGAAACATGAAAAGAACGAGAAAAGATGAGAATCCGAAGGATAAGGAAATGAATGAAGGGGTCCAAGATCCTGTAGCAGTTATGACCACATGAGTGTTAGAACGTGGACATCGTGAATTTAGGGCTAAAGGAACTTGAGGCAGAATTAAGACCATAGCTTTTCTGTCAGTTCTATTGCCTTCTGTCCTTCGGGGTTTTTCCCTCCCATTTCCCTGCCATCCAGCAGTTTCAAATCAGTAACCTCACATGCTGAAAGGAACATCCTGAAAAGAATGGTGAAATATTAAAATGGGAGTTCATTTGCCAGAAAGAGAGATGGTAACTCGTGAATTCTTCTCCATTAGCTGAGAGAGGCCAACTAATGACAGATATATTTGGGTGGGTTTGAAAATTATTCCTATCTCCTTGCAATGCAAGTGTCAGAGGAACCCTGTGCTTTTAAGCAGACCTTTTCATTAACTGAGATTTTGGGTGATTTCTTAAAATGGATAAATTATTTTAAAAAAATTTTTTAAATGTTTTATTTCTGAGAGAGGGACAGCGTGAGCAGGGGAGGGTCAGAGAGAGAGGGAGACATAGAATCTGAAGCAGGCTCCAGGCTCTGAGCTGTCAGCACAGAGCCCGACGCGAGGGTGGAACCCACTAACTGTGAGATGATGACCTGAGCCGAAGTCGGACGCTTAACCGACTGAGCCACCCAGGCGCCCCTCATTACTTTATTTTTAAAGTAGCATGTAATGTTGTCACCTCTCACACTGTTTTGCGCCACCAGTCCGATTCCAATGTTGATATTCTAACCTAAAGATTTATTAAAGTGATATTAGAGAATGAATAGAGGCTCCCAGTATCTTGAAATGGTTGAATCGGTTATATAAACATCTGTTCTAAGGAATTAGTTTACAATTCCTCTCACAGAAGCTTGGGAAGATGGTACAGGGAACATAATGAAAGGATACATTTGTTCTCATTAGGAAATAATTTAATTGGAAATTCATTTTTATTAGCAAATATATTAACATAATGAATGTTCTAGTCACATGTAACAATAAATCGTTTCCGAGCCAGAACACAGAGGATAGCCACACAAATTCCTGCTGACCTTCACATTGAAAACTAATGGTATAACCAGGAAATGGAGCCCATCCCTCTCCTTTGTAAATGATAAAGTTATCCACTGTGTTCAATTTTTTTTTTTAATGTGGCTTAAAAAGAAAAGGATTAGAACCATCTTCTTGCTTGGCTCTAATATATGATCCCTCATCTTTTCCCCTTTCATACCCAGAATCAAGACCCATGAAAAATTAATCATTCCTCAACAACTAGAACTGTTCTCTAGCTGGTCTTGTGGAAAGAAGTATAATGACAACCTTAAGAACTCGCCTAGGCTTAGACACTGTGCTTCCCAGAACCACAACCTCATCTTCCCCAGTTATTAGCTGGGTGGCTTTGAGAACATTCTTTATCAGTTTCCTAGTCTATAAACTGAGGCTGTTTGGGGGATTATACTAGATTTTTGAAGTCTCTTAGCACACTTACTACATCTCATCCATCCCAGTAGACAATGTATCTTAGATTATAGCATTTAAGAATTTTATAGCTCTTTATTGGTACTCTTCGTTAATATTTATGTTGATCTGATAGAAACTATAACTTTATTATTATTTTCATTACTATCAATAATTCATAGTATTACTACTAATAATAGCTAATGTTCGATTAGTTTTGGGGTCTCCCTAGGGATTGGGGGCCCTTTTTTGAAAGTTTCAACAAATGTATGTATGTATATATGCATGTATGGATTTATTTATTATTAAGTTAGCTAATATACAGTATATACAGTGTACTCTTGGCTTTGGGAATAGATTCCCATGATTCATTGCATACATACAATGGCCAGTGCTTATCCCAACAAGTGCCCTCCTCAATGCCCATCACTCACTTTCCCCTCTCCCGCATGTCTCCCCACCCCCATCAGCCCTCAGTTTGTTCTTTGTATTTTAGAGTCTCTTATGGCTTGCCTCCGCCTTTGAAATTATTTATTCCCCTTCCCTTCCCCCATGGTCTTCTGTTGACTTTCTCAAATTCCACATGAGTGAAAACATAGGACATCAGTCTTTCTGTGACGGACTTATTTCACTTAGCGTAATACCCTCCAGTTCCATCCACATTGTTGCAAATGGCAAGAGGTTGTTGCCTGTTTTCTCCTCTAGGGTTTCGGTGGTTTCTTGTCTCACATTTAGGTCTTTTATCCATTTTGAGTTTATTTTTGTGTGTGGTGTAAGCAAGCGGTCCCTTTCCATTCTTCTGCATGTCGCTGTCCAGTTCTCCCAGCACCATTTGCTGAAAAGACTGCCTTTTACCCGTTGGATACTCTTTCCTGTTTTGTCAAAGATTAATTGGCCATTCATTTGTGGGTCCAATTCTGGGTTCTCTCTTCGATTTCAATAGTGTCTGTTTTTGTGCCAATACCATACTGTCTTGACGATGACAGCTTTGTAAGAGGCTGAAGTCTGGGATGGTGATGCCTCCTGCTTTGGTTTTCTTTTTCAACATTACCTTGGCTATTCTATTCGGGGTCTTTTGTGGTTCCAAACAAAGTTTAGGAATGTTTGTTCTAGCTCTGAGAAGGTTCCTGGTGCAATTTTGCTATTTCTTTGAATGTGTGGATTGCTTTGGGTAGTATTGACATTTTAACAATATTTTTTCTTCCAATCTATGAGCATGGAATGTTTTTCCATTTCTTTGTGTCTTTTTCAATGTCTTTCATAAGTTTTCTATAGTTTTAAGCATACAGATATTTTATATCCTTACTGAGGTTTATTCCTAGGTATCAGTGGTTCTTGGTGCTATTGTAAATGGGACCAATTTCTTGATTTCTCTTTCTGCTGCTTCATTAGTGGTGTATGGAATTGCAACCAATTTCTGTACATGGATTTTATATCCTGCAACTTTGCCGAGTACACGTATCAGTTCTAGCATCTTTTTGGTGGGGTCTTTCAGGTTTTCCATGTACAGTATCGTATCATCTGCAAAAAGTGAAAGTTTGACTTATTCTTTGCCAGTTTGGATGCCTTTTATTTCATTTTGTTGTCTAATTTCTGAGGCTAGGACTTCCAGCACTATGTTAAACGACAGTGGTGAGAGTGGACATCCCTGTCGTGTTCCTGATCTCAGCGGGAAAGCTCTTAGTTTTTCTCCATTGAGGATGATATTAGCGGTGGGCTTTCATAAATGGGCTTTTATGATGTTAAGGTATGTTCTTTCCAACTTTCTTAAGGGTTTTTATTAAGAAAAGATGCTGTATTTTGTCAAATACTTTTTCTGCAACTGTTGACAGGATCATATGACCCTTATCCTTTCTTCTTCTAATGTGATATATCACACTGATTGATTTGTGAATATTGAACCTGCCCTGCAGCCCAGGGATGAATCCCACTTGATCATGGTGAATAATTCTTTTAACATGCTGTTGAATTCGATTTGCTAGGATTTTGGTGAGAAATTTTGCATCCATGTTCACCAGGGATATTGGCCTGTAATTCTCCTTTTAGTGAGTGGGGTCTATGTCTGGTTTGGGAATCCAGGTAATGCTGGCTTCATAGAATGAGTCCAGAAGGTTTCCTCCCATTTCTATTTTTCAGAACAGCTTGAGAAGAATAGGTATTAACTCTGCTTTAAATGTCTGGTAGAATTTCTCAGGGAAGCCATCTGGCCCAGGACTCTTATTTGTTGGGGGATTTTTGATAACTGATTTGATTTCCTTGCTGGTTATGGGTCTGTTCAAATTTTCTATTTCTTCCCATTTGAGTTTTGGTAGCATGTGGGTGTCCAGTAACCTGTCCATTTCTTCCAGGTTGTCCAATTTGTTGGCATATAATTTTTCATAGTATTCTCTAATAATTGTTTGTATTTCTGTGGTGTTGGTTGTGATCTGTCCACTTTCATTCATGATTTTATCTATTTGGGTTCTCTCTCTTTTTGTGAAGTCTGGCTAGGGGGTTATCGATTTTGTTTATTCTTTAAAAAAAACAGAACTTCTATGCATTGATCTGTTCTTCTGGTTGTTTGCTTTTTTCAGATTCTATATTATTTATTTTTGCTCTGATCTTTATTATTTCTCTTCTTCTGCTGGTGTTTCTTTGTTGCTCTGCTTCTAGTTCCTTTAGGTGCGAGGTTAGGTTTGTGATTCTTCTTGTTTTTTTGAGATAGGCCTGGATTGCAATGTATAGGACTGCCTTTGCTCCAAGGGATTAGGGGTCTTGAACATAGAACAGTTTTCTTGGGGAATGGCTATGTATTTCCTTCAAATTAAAAAACCTCAACTGTGTTTAAAAAGATTGGAAAGGTGGAAGGATCATGGTCCATCTTTTTTCGTCTTTGTACTTTATGTTTTAAAAAAATTAATAGATTTTTTTTTTAGAGCAATCTACAATTCACAGCAAATATGATCTGGAAGTTTAGAGAGTTCCCACATAACTCTCCCCCACCATCAACGTTCCATATCAGCATGGTATATTTGTTATAAACAATGAACCAACACTAACACATTACCCACCAAAGTCCATAGTGAAGGACACTAGAATATCACCCCAAAATATGTGCCATAAAGATTATTTTGAGCCAAAGGCAGTTGAGAAGACGCAGGCCCTGCTCTCCACCTATTTGCCTAAAAGTGGGAGATACATTTTCAAAGGCATCCCCCTTCCTTTGCTAGCAGGAGGGACAAAACCTACTCATCACAGACAACCAATAGAGGAATCTAAATAACCTTTACCAACTAGCCTTTGCCATTAGTTTCCCATATATTTACCTTCACATGATCTGCCACCCTTGGAAGCCTGAAACTGCTTTCTTTGTCCTGTCATTATTCTACAAATGTACTGATCTTTGTGGAAGATGTGCTGTACAAGCCTGAA